ATGATCTAGAAGTAGTGATGCTTCAAAGTGTATCTACTGCAGTTCTCATCTCAGACAGCTAGGAGGAAAGCATTAAGAATCAATCACAACAGCCCAAAGAATAGTTTCATTCTTCGAACACAAGAATGGTATAAGAAAAACCTCTGCACAATATTCTTCTACAAGACAGTTCACATTTCCTTACAAAACTACCTTTCAGTATTTCACACTCATCATTAATGCGTTAGAAAAATAATCATTACGAGGACAGCCGCTGGCTTTCAGCAGTGTCTTCAGATGAGACACACTAAACAGAAATAGCCATTTACATCTTCAAACGAGCAGCCCTCCCTCATTAAACTGGTTTTAAAATAAATACAGAGAAAATACCTTGTACAAAGTAATATCCAGAGACTATTATGGGCCTTTAAACACATGACTTCACAATTAAGGCTGAAATCTTTATTCTACCTAGTAAAGTGATCTTTTAAATACAGCACATGTTGCAAAATACTAGGGGATTGACTTAGCTTTCATCCTTGCGTTTACACCTTTGTAAATGAAGCCTTTAAAAATATTAATTATGTATTGAGTAGTTTGGTCCTGCCACAATTCCTCTTAAATTCAGGTAATGAATATAACATGATATAGAAAACTACATCTAGAATGTTTGTGAATTAGAACTGGAGGACTCAAGATGTAACTGAGGTCTTTCATTTTTCAGTCTGTGGATTAAATTTTAAATGTAAGTAATGGATACTCTGTTTGATACTCCGTTTACAGAAGGTCCCTAAAGGCATCAATACTGTAAGATCAAAGGTGATCAGCCTTTCTAGTTCCTTCTTTCAGTAAGAAAGGACTGCATGCAGCTGACCTTCCTCCCTCTAACAATGGAGTTGTGTGCAAGCTTTTTGGAAAGTGAAAGGTGTACCGAAGGAGTGCTTTAAATCCAGGCTCAGGATTAAAACCTCAACATTCACCGTGCATGCTCAGAACTATGCCACACTGCCTCAATAAAGGTGCATTGACAGAGCTTGGACAAACAAGTGCCAGGAGCAAAGGGCAACTACCAAAGGCAAAGGGAACAGGAAAATTAGAACTGTTCCCACAGAGACAGCCTGCTCCTGGCTACAACTCTTCTTTGGAGCACCTCATGGTCCCGTGACCATATGGAAGTCTGGATATGTGGCTGCATGGTTACAAGCACACATGCATGAGACTTGGCAACCAACCTGCCTATCAGTAAGAAACCCTAAATTCATAAGGAATTGGGAATTCCTTAATACCCCAGCCCCAAAAACAGACCCTCAAACAAGTTTTAAATTGTAGAACAAAGTCTTTTTTATATTTTTAAATATATAATACATATATACATACATACATGTATCAGTCATGAGGAAGAGAAATTATTTGTACACTTCTGTAGTACTATGGAAAAATCATTACATTACAGTTTTAACCAAGAATCTAGAAATCTTTTAATTCAAATCTGGAACTTTTGTAATTCAAACTTTTTACTATTAACCCCGCTCAATCTGAATTACATTATCTAGATGTCTAATTTATGCCCTAGAGAAACCTTTTGCTATAGTATGCTTTTTATGTAAAAACTTTTAATGCTTTCAAGAAAGAGATCTTTTGAGGATTTTACACTGAGTTTTAGAAATTTCTTCTTGCTAGTTGGAAATTACAAACGGAGCAAGAGCTCTTATGTACTTTCTGCCTTACTGTGTAACAGCCAAAGGAATGTTCTTGGAAAGCATCAGCAGTTAATGGTAATCTGGGTAGTTCAAGTTTTCAGTTACTTTGTATAAGATTAATATAACTAAGAAGGCATCCCATAAGCAGCAAGAAGATAAACTGAATATTCCGAGAGGTAGGAAAACACTCTGAACTATCAAATTTGATTATCCACAGACAAAAAAGGAAAATAAATACTGTCTATCATTGCAAACTGTTACAATTAATATTTTTGAAGTCTCAAATCCCAACTGGAAGACACATCATTAGGTGCTGCTCTCCTTAGCTACCTACTATGCATCACGCTGAAATACCTGGAGAACTCAAGATAAACTGAGGTCTTTCACTTTTCAGTCTGTGGATTAAATTTTAAATGAAAGTAGTGGATACTCTGTTTACAGAAGGTCCCTAAAGGCATCAATACTGTAAGATCTGAGAATATTAATACTATAAATACTAAGATCCTCTCCCCTCAGTTCACCAACCTGAAGATCCAATCAATAGTCCCTTCAACAGTATCTGCAATATATTTGTAATAAAACTTTTTCCTCAACTTCTTCACACACAAAACCAGGTCTCCGTTTCACAGATGAAGAACTTGATATGCAGTAAAGACTTCTTGTTAATCTGTTTATCAGAACCCCATGAAACAAAGCAAATCCATAGTACTTGGGTGTTTGCCAGCAATATTATTCAGGACTACTATACTGAAATCTGATTGGTTTTATATCTTAAATTACGTCATCAATTAACCATAAAATGTCTGATTTGCAAGACACTGTCAATCATTTTCATTTGGCAAGTGATTTGTAAAACTTACCCTGTTACATTACAAAACTTACCCTGTTACATTACAAGGCATTTTTTAATTTTCACGCACCCTGGAGTCTTTTCTTCTTTGCTGATTTTTTTCACTCTGTACTGTCGAATCTCTCGCACCAATGTATAAAAAGCATCCTCCACTCTCTGCATTGTAAAACACAACTCCTTAAAAACTGCTTCATTAACAATCGTGACATATTGGGACACCCATGGCAGGAGAAAAAACCACAGCAAAACCACTGAAATTATGAGCTTTACTTGAGAGAAGTATATGGATCTCCATTTATATATTTAAAATG